TGTATTATTGAGTGGTAAATTTGATTTCATAAAAAGCAACTCAATTTTACATCAACAGTTAAGTAATTATTTCAAAATAAAATCATAAGTAATGACTCTAATTCTTGGTCGAACAAATCTTTGCGAATTATAAAACTGACCCAAATCAGGTAATATCGAATAATTTGGCCAAGAATTTCGCTGTGTAATTCGAACAAATCACGTCCACGAAATGCTGATTATTTGGCTCATATAATAGGTTTAGAGCTACCTTATAATCAATCCCGTTTGATAAAAATATTCAAAATATAAAAATTCTTCATTCTCTAGCAATTTTAAATCTCCCATTACACAGTTGCTAATCAATAATAAATGCTACTGGGTAAGGTTTTCATGTTTTTACCTATATTTGGTTTCAATTTATATCATAGGTCTAGCCCCGGTGCATTTTATATTCAGAAAAAAATGACAGAATTAAAAACCAAACTTGTAGATGCTGGTCTTTGTAATGAATAAATTATGCTGTTAGGATTGGACACAATTAAGGTTTTGAATTGAAATTAAATGAAAATATGTTTTAAAATTAATTCCTTCTTTAAACATACTTATTATAGATAACATTTAGAACAAATCCCCATGTATTGATTGTTAATTAGTTAGATCATGAAGTCCTGAAGGTTTATGCAGTGCGTTACATTTTAAATATAAACGTCATAGACATAACTCTTCCATGGCACCTGAACCCACATCTGATGTTTGGAGGTCCGTATTTGCTCTGCTCCTATTTCGTATTGTTTTATGGACTTTGATGTAGAATACTGTTTGTTATCTCCATATCCTTCTTCACGTGATAAGCAGCCTTAATTGCCTCTATTCGGAGCACATATTGTACACATGTACAGGTTTTTCTAAACACTTTAATTGTTCTAAATGATGGTCTATTATTTTGCTTGCAAAATCACTTGATCCAATTTTTCTGTCATATACCAGGGGGTAGCATGAACGAATATAAACTCCTTCTTTTAATATTTGTACATATTTGCTCAGTGATTCCTTTAAAACTAATCGATGAATTACATTAGATAACCAGGTATCAAATAAATGTACACAAACAACTTAACGTGACAATGTGTCGACGTAAATGGTGTAATTTTAAACTTTAGGACAGCTACTTTTTAATATGCAATACTCTGAAGTTAAACATGTTAAAGCAGTTAAAACACTTTTCCTTGCTGTTGTTCTCACTGATACCGATCATGGCAAATTTCATCAAAATATGAACGGAGAAAACTTAGACATCTGCATTACAAATGGTTTCAGTGACCTTGAGGGTCCTAATTTATGCTTTTGAATGATTTTTTTTAAATCTTTGATTAACGGTAGAGATTTAATTATGTTTTATAGCAAAAATCTTGCTTGCATATAATGTTGATAAATGTGACAAATATTTATGAAAATCTGTAAGGGAGTTTGTTATCTAACTCAATCGTGCTTGGAAAAATATGTGACGGCTTTATTTCAATACCGATTAAATATTAAAAGTATATACGCTATAACTTGCGCCAGTTAAAATACGATTGGAAATTGATACAATTTGTTTATCAATAAAAGTTACGAAAATACTGTAAATTACACCATTAAAATTAAACGCGTTACAAAGTTATCAAATTATAATTATTTATTATCCTGCAAGGAAAGAAAAACAGCTATTTTTAAATAAATCCATCACGTGACGCCGTCGCTACTTTTAGATTGATAAACACACGTGGCGTAAGGAAAACAAGGTAGACCGTTTGAGATACTACTCACTTTTGACGTGGATACTTAATGGTACTTTATCTTTTAATGTATTTCAGTATCAACCAACTTCTCTGTTATGACGCATATTAACCTTACATTAATAATTGTTGTCAAAATGCAACATACCTCGTTGTCTGTGATTTCCCGTGGACATGTGTTTCTATATATAGGCCTACTGTTTACGCACTTCCTTTATCAATATTCATGAAAAGACTGAATTCTTAATTCCTAGATATTGTTTAATTGTTTTGTTATTACAACGACATCTATAGTACAATTTTGTGGAAAGAATTATTTTTTATTACACTTCATGTGTTTTAAATCATTAATCATTTTGTTTCACACAAAATTCGGCGTTCATATAGCGTATATGACTTTAAGTAAATGTAAGTTGAATTTCTCGAGTATTTTGTACCCATGTAATACTTTGACTTTTCCCAAGCGTGTTTTGTGCACACTAAAATATGATGCATTTACTTTTATAACAAAATGTTAATAATGATTGTGTGATACATGCTGAGCATCGATTCGATTTAGGTATAATGCTTAAAGGTACTTGGACACAGATTTGAAGTTAATATTTTCTCATTTTTTCTGTATAATATCACGAATTGTATATTTTGATAGTATTTCACACAAAAATTAATTAAAAATCTTATTTCATTTAAAAGTTATTAAAACTTTAAATTTTTTGGCGGGTTTGATTGACACAACCTTGCACTTTTACAAATTTTAACTTTATTCTTAATCCTTAGGAAAAGTGGCAATTTTGATGTGTTTTAATGAGAAATATTAAAACTTCTATCAAGAAAAATAATTTTATTCAGAGTAGAAATGTTAGAAAGCAAAACACCTTCACAAGTATCGTCATTCCGAACTAAGAGATGCGTACAGAGTTTAGCAAATCGAGCACACTCGTGTTATGTACACAGTTTTTGTAAACAGGGCTAGAGCTCTGTTATTGTTTATATTTAGAAATCACCGGGTGCGTTCAATCGTCACAGTCTGCTTACCACAACTGCACGGACTGACAATATATTGTGTGTTTGTTTTGCTTTCGAACGTGTCTACTCTGAATTTTCTGGATTATAGTATTAATATTTTTCATTTATACAAAACGAGATTGCTACTTTTCCTAAGGATTAAGAATAAAATTAAATTTGTGAGAGTGCAAGGATATGTCAATCAAACCCGCCGAAAAAATTGAAATTTCAATATCTTTTTAAAGGTACTTGGACACAGATTTGAAGTTATTATTTTCTCTATAATATTACAACTTATATATTTTAATAGCATTTCACACAAAAATCAATTAAAAATCTTATTTCGTTAAAAAGATATTGAAATTGTGGTAAGCAGACTGTGACGATTTAACGCACCCGGTGAATTCTAAATATAAACAATAACAGAACTCGAGCCCTGTTTACAAAAACTGTGTACATAACACAAGTGTGCTCGATTTGCTAAACTCTGTACGCATCTCTTAGTTCGGAATGACAATACTTGTGAAGGTGGTTTGCTTTCTAACATTTCTACTCTGAATAAAATTATTTTTCTTGATAAAAGTTTTAATATATCTCATTAAAACACATCAAAATTGCCACTTTTCCAAAGGATTAAGAATAAAGTTAAAATTTGTGAAAGTGCAAGGATGTGTCAATCAAACTCACCAAAATATTTAAAGTTTTAATAACTTTTAAATGAAATGAGATTTTTAATTAATTTTGTGTGAAATGCTATTAAAATATTTAATTCGTGATATAATACAGAAAAAATGAGAAAATATTAACTTCAAATATGTGTCCAAGTACCTTTAAGATGATAACTGACCGTAAAGTGATCTAAGAAATAGTGTGGTTTTATAACAAATATGAATATAATATTTTGCAGATATAGTCCTCTCTTTCGAGTACAAAGCTTGAGATAAAAGATACCACAGAGTCTGAAACATCTGTTGCATAATTGGATATTTCACTTGAAAAGGGCATTAGTGGCAATCCGACAACCCAGCTCTATGACAAACGTGATGACTAACGTTTCTATCGTTATGCAGCTATAAGTTCTATGGTCGATACAATGACCTTGTCAGCAAATACAATATATCATTAAGTAAAACGCTAACTGACGTTTCTCATACTAATGTTAGTCCACTATTGTTTGTCCATCAATTCATACTTTGAATTGAGGACGGATTTTCGTTATTTCCCGATCATGACAAGGAGCACACAGCGGGTGTGCATCAGGGAATGCTAACTTCTCCGTGGCACCTGATTGAACCTCTGATGTTTTGGAGGTCCGTGTTTGCTCTGCTCCTGTTTTGTATTATGGACTTTTGATTTTAAATACTGTTCGTTATCTCCGTATGTTGCATTTTGAAAATATTAGAAGGAAAGAATTTACTCAATCAATTGTTCACCAATCATAAGAAACAATTTTCAGAAGCATTTTTCAAAAAGTAGACATAAAAGAATTCAAATGATAATGAGATAAAAAAAAGGGACTCGTGGAAGGAAATGTTTGAATTAAACATGTTAAATGTTTGAATTATTAATTCTATTTGGCGTATTCAACAGACATATCTTTGACCATAGACTCTCAATGTATATAACATTAATTCTTTTAGTTGGACATGAAATGCAAAGTTGAGTGCTCAAATAAAATTTTTAGATAACAGCATTGTAAGACGTTACTTTCGCAGGCACTAGAGTATCTCTCCCCGTTTTCATATTTCTGATTTGGAGTTCTATGTATTTTATGTTATTAATTATGAAACCCTTGTATCTCATTAGGCTGTTTTTAAAATATATCGTTTTCGACTGAATCAGATCCTAAAGAGGCTTGCAATTTTTATTTAATTCTCGTAGTCTGTCTCACTTAAACTTAACGTAGTTATTTTCTAACTTTATTTTCTAATTTCAAAAGTGTAATAAATCATGGAATATGCAGACATCAATAAATTTGGTTCATATTCGTCTTCTCTTTTAGATTTCTATCTATATTATATGTGTCTCCGATTAGTAATATTTCGATTAAATCACGTCCATGTAGAGTGAAATTTGTTGTCGTCTACCGAATACAAATATAACAAAAAGGTGACTGGACCCTTAATTTAGAAAGTTAAAAAAAATGGAACAGAGGGGATGCCTCGTTATATGTCACAATTCCCGATGAAAACGCAGTTTTGAGCCATTATAAGCACTGCAGAACATTAAAATCTAGATTTATGTTTTTTCCAAATATTTGTATACGGAGATGGTAGAACTGTTTAAACCTCCAACCAAAAGATTATGATGTTTATCGATACAAAGAGCACAGGTATCCATATCACATTGATCTGGTGTGAGTAAAAGAGAGAGGAACTGACCATCCATGTCCAGTAGGTGGACACTGGAGCAATGATTACGAGAATCTTCATAGCCGTTACAAACCAAAATGTGTCCCAGAACATCTGTGCAGATTCCATAGGGAATAAATCCAAACTGGGAATGGTGACCTGAATAAGAGAACCGATACTCTCCCGATCCGGTTACCAGCACCACCTTTCGCGCTAAGTAGTCTGAGGTACAGATGTCACCATTAATGTTCTCTGAGATAAAGTTTATACTTTGGAAAAGATCTTTTCCTTTATTGTCTCTCTGGATGTCCTGTAACTTCTTTCCTCTTTTGCTGTATCTGGTTACTTTCATGCATCTGTTTCTTTCCATACCAACTAAAATGTGCCCATTAATATTGGAGGAGAAGATGGCTCCAGGTTCCCAGTTCCCTGTGCTAACTAGTTTGTTGATGGACAGGTTACTCCGTACTCTGCATACATTGCTATTTTTGTAGTCTGAGTAAAGTAGCTCTCCCTCTGTATTGACTGTGTGGTTACCTCTGATGCACCATATACTATTGGATATTTCCTGCGTTGTATTTCCTTGCATATCAGACTGAATAATCTTCTTCCAGTCACTCCCGGCCCAAAATCTATCCAAAAGTAGAGAAGATAAATGTGAAACTGCTGATGCATGGATCCTTATCTCATTTACTTTTTTTGCGGAAGAGGATAGCAATATCTTGGTATATGAATCTGTTTCAATTTCACCAAATTCTGTGGCAATTTCCTCTTCATTTGTCGTACCTGGATTAAATGTTGGCAGTTTTAGTTTACTTAGGGTAGGCCTCTTCAGTGTAGCTGAGGATATATCGAAATAGAATTTAAAAAGTTCCATGGTTCTTATCGAAGACATCTTATTCTCATAATCTGTTATTATCTTTTTCAAATATGCAATGAAATCTTCTGTCTTCTTTTGGTTTTCCTCAAGATCATTTAAAAGCAAGTTTTCAATTTCGTCCAGCTTTTTATTATTAGCAGTGAGTATTGCGTCAACTGCCTCCTTCAGTTCATTTGCTCTCTTCTTCATAGACAATCTTAAGTTGGCGATTTCCTTCATGGTATATTTCTTTTCCTCTCCGAATGACTTTATGTTATCAGTAGCCTTAGGAATGACTGTTTTCCAGATATCAATTATTTCCTTTTGACATTCTTTTAGAGTGTTATTATAGATAATTTCTAGATTACAGTTTGCATGATCATTGTGATCCTGGGCTAAGCAATTGGGGCAGACAGGAACCTGACAATCATCACAATATATATCAATATAAAATGTGGGGTGGGTTTTGCATTTTTCTGAAGGTAACTTTCTTTTTTTCTCCTGATAAGGGACTATGTCATGTCCTTTGTTACGCTTTAAGTGATTCTCCCTACAGAGACCACAGATTCGCTGATGACAAGTATTGCAGTAAAACTCAGAGAAGTTTCGACATAATGCTGTATCACACTCGATGTAGTGCTGGGCTGCATCTGATACATCATCCATGTTGTCGATCAATTATCTAAAATGAAATGTATTTTCAGTTATTAAATGTAGTTTAGAAAAAAATAACAAAAATAAATATGATTTGGCTAATCGCTTTTAATTACCTTTTGTGCAATTGTATTTTCCTTGATTCACCTCTTTCAAAGAGTGTAAGGCATTTGTTATGAGTATATTTCAGGCATCCTAAAAAAAAATAACATTAAATCATCATACTTTAAAACATGGTTTGGTTTTCATTAAACTAGCTATTATCACTATCAATAACAAAATAAAACATTTGTAGATATGATCATGACGTGTGTGTACGAGGGCCGTTCAAAAATAACGCGGACTTGTTGCACAGAAGAAATATTTGACGACATAATCGGGCAAAATTTCACAAATAAGGCCAAAAAAATTAATTTCTTGGTTCTCAGGCGCTCCCTCATCTCTTCCAAGGGCGCCTCATTGACCCTTTTTATTGCTTAATCAATGAAATAAAAACAACAAATCACCTCTCTCATCATTTTTTGAGGTTTTGTACAATGTAAAAAGCTGCCTCATCATGTTTTGGGGGCAATAAAAAGTAAAAAAATGCCTCCCTCCCTCATCATATTTAAAAAAAAAAAAAGGCCTGAGAACCAGTGAGTTAATTTTGCGTGGCCTAATATAAAAGAATTTTTACTTATATGGTCTTCAAAATTTCATATCAAAATGTTGTAAATTGGTATTAATTTTGAGTGATTTTTCAGGACATACCATTCAGTCACGGCGCAGCAAAATCTTCGACGTCACAAGCATTATAAAAAATTAAAACATTTTCCATTGAGTACCTGTATAGTTTGAGTTACCTGATCTACTCAACAACACAACACCATTTCTTGTCAAGCTTTAAATCTATTAAACAAGTAAAGAATATTCTTTTCTTTGTTTAAAACCAAAAACTACATATGAGATATAGTGTGATATTGGTGACTCTCAATCACGTTCTTTGCAGTCCGGATAAAGTTAACTTTTCGTCTATTATCTTCTTCCCGTCCTCCCGTATAGCCTTTTTACAGAGGTCTAACTGTCTAAAATTTCAATTTGCTATTTGTGGGCGAATGTCACGATTAGCCTAGTTTACTGCATGTTTTATTATGCATATTTTGGATCTATGTTGCCGATATCTCGAGCATTACACATATTTTAACAAAAGTGTGGTGCGCAGTCAATTCAGGAGACGTCATTTTCACAGTCGTTTTCACGGGAATTGCATTAGCTTCTCGGCGTGTTTGCAGTATCAAAAGGACTGAGTTTAGCAAGTCGTTTTAGAAGCCTATCTTCCCTTTCTGTAGTCTTTCGGTGTCTTAAATGTCTTGTGGCTGCTACTACACATCAAGTTCTTCTCCAGCGCTGTACCAGACGTAAAATTACAGTATGACTGACAATACAGTTACCCTCCTATACGTCATTCCAGTTTTTACCATTCCAATGGCCTTCCTTTGTTCAGCATCCAATAGTTTTTGACGAGGCATGATTGCACGAAATTGCAACATTTTTTTTACTATCAGTATAAGTTCGTGGACAATGACGTTTTTGTCAAAATAATTGGTTCTATATGCATCTATTGTATATCAAAATATTTCTTAAGAAAAACAAAGTCAGAGTGGTTTTATTTTTATTTAGGAAACTTAATATTTTTGTCAAAATCAGGGTCTTTAAAGATCGCAGATTGTGCGCACGGACCAGTCTGACGTTAAGCTAATTTTATTAAAATGTTAAAATTCAAAACAATGCACAAAAAATTACGGGTTTTATCTATATAAACAGTTTGTATACACAAACTGCACAGCCCAGTCCGACGCTGCTCTAGATTTATAACAACTTCATGAATAGAAATCTCCATTTTCAGAAAATTACATGTGTTTTTAAATTCTTGTAGTGTCTTCGAATTTGTACACACCGTTGAAAAACCGTATATACCAATCTGAAATTGATCCTCTAAATGTATTTCAATAATGTTCAGTTGGTTTAACAAATATTATGTCTCTTACGTCGGTTTAACCGTATAAAAACTAAATTTTTGATCGGACGCTGCCCCGTGCGGACGGCCAACGTCGCTTTTTTGTCGAGTTTTGACACATATTTATCGGTTTTTTTGTTTAGTATTTCTACTGTCTATATAGTGAGCGATAATTGAGGTATAAGAAAATGATTATAGCCTCTTCATTTGTGTTTCATAAAAAAAATTATTAATTTTTGACTTGTCTTATATAGAAAGTAATCATTTTAAGCCGAGACCTTTACATCAGAGTTTAGCCTTCGTTAAGTGAAAAAGGAACAGAAATGACAATTAGGTATTTATTAAAACCCACTTTTTACATTTTTCTATCAGATATTGATGTTCTGAAATAAAGAGCCACAGCTTAACAGACACATACAGTAAAATCAATCTGTTGTCTTTGCTTAAGATATTTGCCAACACTTGTGCTAAAATTCTCAGCACATTCATGTTCAGATTTCGTCAAACAAGATTGGATCTTGAAAATTACCAAAAATTACCAAATTATGTATTCATTCTTTCTTTTCAAATTTCAAATTTTACAATTTTTATGCATTTTTCTCAATCATTTAAACACTTTTTATAGATACACATGTATTGCTTATAAGATTTTAAATACTTGTGATTTAATTTTTAACTCCGCTAAAACGCATGGATACTTAAATCTTTATATCAAATATCCTACCATTCCTGGCGGCCGTTTTTTACTTACTCAAATAACCACATAAATTGTTCAGGTGTATGGAGACTAGAGGTTTCTTGATTACATATTATTAAAAACTATAAAAAAAAAAACAACACTATAATATTATTACATGTATATTATATTATAATATAATACTGCCTACTTTTGTACAATTCTCGTGACCTCAACCTTTAAGTTTAACGTACTTTTCAAAAATGAAAATTTTTCTTATAACTTTTGATTGAGAATAGATAGAGCATTCATATTTAACATGTGCATTACCTGTGACAATAATTGTTATATCTTATTCCAGATTTGTAATATCTTACGTAATTGGTTTTTGTTTTATGATTTGATGCCTAATTACATTGCGTAATGATTCAATAAAGTAGTTCGGATTTAGCCATCTTGTGTGTTACATGTGTTTGCATCACTATCCAACAATTATGCTCAACATAGAATGATCATAGTTAGTTACTTGGCATTTTCGGAGGGTTATATACATCTTAATTAAATGTCCTTGGGTCTTTTTAAAGAGTTTTTGTCTTTCAAAAGTGTTTTATCAATATTTGTTCTCTTACAATGCCTTACTTTATAAACATTATAATTATTTGAATGAATATTTAACAAAAGCAGAATTTTTTATGATTAGGTAAAAAAAACATTATTATAGTTTGTCTTACCTGTAAATACAACATGGCTTCTTAAAATCTTTATTGATATAACTTACCTGTCTCGCCCTGGTTTCTGATCACGTGATTTAAATTTCCACTTTGCATTCAAATTCAAAGAGGATCAAATTACAGTTACATGATTGTATAACAATGAAAAAACTGATAACAATAACATTTAACAAAGTTTTTAAAATTCACACAAAGAATTTTCGGACATGAACCCCCCTCAAGTAAATAAGAACATGGAGAAAGGAAGTCTCTGGAAAAGATGACGAAGCAAGTGTTCTTTATGGTAAAAGAAGATATATCTTGTGCTTGTATATAGAACTAGAAATATGTCCATAGGACATGAATGCCCCGCCGAGGATACATCAATAAAGCAACATGAAAATTTGTATGTGTTTAAAATTTGATCAGAATATCCAGAATAGAGATGCAGCTGAATTGCTTGTTTGGAAAATATAGGTCAGATCCAGCATCCGAAGCAAGTCTGGTAGTGTCCATCCCTAGATGCATCATCCATGCAAGTTTGATTAAGGTAGGGCTTATAGATACTTGGGAATGAAAATATAAGTCAGATCTAGCATCCGAAGCAAGTCAGGTAGTGTCCATCCCTAGATGCATCATCCATGCAAGTTTGGTTCAGGTAGGGCTTATAGTTACTTGGGAATGAAAATGTAGGTCAGATCAAGCATCCGAAGCAAGTCAGGTAGTGTCCACCCCTAGATGCATCATCCATGCAAGTTTGGTTCAGGTAGGACTTATAGTTACTTGGGAATAAAAATATAGGTCAGATCCAGCATCCAAAGCAAGTCTGGTAGTGTCCATCCCTATATGCATCATTCATGCAAGTTTGGTTCAGGTAGGGCTTATAGTTAGTGAGGAATAAAAATATAGGTCAGATCCAGCATCCAAAGCAAGTCTGGTAGTGTCCATCCCTAGATGCATCATCCATGCAAGTTTGGTTCAGGTAGGGCTTATAGATACTTGGGAATGAAAATATAGGTCAGATCTAGCATCCGAAGCAAGTCAGGTAGTGTCCATCCCTAGATGCATCATCCATGCAAGTTTGGTTCAGGTAGGGCTTATAGTTACTTGGGAATGAAAATGTAGGTCAGATCCAGCATCCGAAGCAAGTCAGGTAGTGTCCATCCCTAGATGTATCATCCATGCAAGTTTAGTTCAGGTAGGGCTTATAGTTACGTACTTGGGAATAAAAATATAGGTCAGATCCAGCATCCGAAGCAAGTCTGGTTGTGTTGATCCCTAGATGCATTATCCATGCAAGTTTGGTTCAGGTAGGGCTTATAGTTACTGAGGAATAAAAATATAGGTCAGATCCAGCATCCAAAGCAAGTCTGGTAGTGTCCATCCCTAGATGCATCATCCATGCAAGTTTGGTTCAGGTAGGGCTTATAGTTACCTGGGAATGAAAATATAGGTCAGATCCAGCATACGAAGCAAGTCTGGTAGTGTCCATCCCTAGATGCATCATCCATGCAAGTTTGGTTCAGGTAGGGCTTATAGTTACTGAGGAATGAAAATATAGGTCAGATCCAGCATCCGAAGCAAGTCTGGTAGTGTCCATCCCTAGATGCATCATCCATGCAAGTTTGGT